AAATGTGTGGATTTTTTATATCACTGTATAAATATATGTATGAATGAAATTCATAATTTTTTGCATGAATTTTAGTCCCTCCAGAAAAAAAATACATATGTATAGTGCAATTAGTCAATAAAAACGCCCAATTTTTAACCTCTTCAACAAAAAATAAATAAATTACTTCTGTATAGTGCGAGCACTTATTTTTTTTGGAGCTGTGCATAATACGCCCCCCGAATTTTTATTATAATTTTTTTAGGAAAAATGCGTATTAAACATGTGGAATTACTATATTTGTGTATAGTGCGATGACCTACACTTAGATGGGCTGTGTCTTTTCAGGATGCCAGCGATCATGGCTCTCCACAATTTCCTATCCTTTGTAGATCTTAATGCATTTTGTCTTTTTGTTATCTCTCCTAAATCTTGTTCCGCCATCCATTTACTCAAGCTCATTCTTCTTATTATTCTTCTATGTGCTGTGTCCCTGCAGGACGTAAGCGATCATGGCTCTCCACAACTTCCTTTATAGCTCTTAATAAATTTTGTCTTTTTCTTATACTACCATCCATTTACTCAAGTTCATTCTTCTTTTATGTGCTGTAACCCTTCAGGACTTAGGCGATCATGGCTCTCCACAATTTCCTATCCATGATACCTCTTAATATTGTTTTTTTCTTATCACTCTTAAACCTAAGTAGGTTATGCGTTCTTTTCCTCCATTACTCTTACCTTCAATACGCCCTGTGCGTAACAAATTTTCCAAGCCCTCTTTCCTCATTATGTAGCCTAGAAATTTCAACTATCTCTTCCAGATGCTCTGTATAAGTTTTCTTTTTGTTTCCATTTTCTCCAAATCTTCCTAGTTGCACACATGTTTGGAACATGATGGTATTTATATTTTAGAAAAGCGTTTATTTATATTTTTCCGTTTTTGAAAGAATATCACTTGTTTTTTCTCCTCCGTTTTTTCTTGTATTGCCGACTTCGAGGTTTCGTGAACGTATTGTAGTAATGATCTCACACTCCAGGGCTGTTGGGTTCTAGATAGAAAAATGCACACAAACACACACGTGTTTATTATATATATATATATATATATATATATATATAAACAGTCTAAGATCTCCCCAACTCTCTATCCATTAATCTCTTACTTCCTTTTATCTATATATTTTAAAATTATTTTTAGGTCCGATTTTATTCCTCTTTTAATTTTAAATTAACATTTCATTTTTCATATAACCCCAAATTAATGTCATAAGGTTAATATTCGGGCTTAATTTTATAAAACTTCTTTCCTTTAAGACAAATAACTTCCGCCAGCACCTGACTCCTGTCTGGTGCCTTTCGTCTGACGGAAACATTGGAATGGATGAATTTTGAATTAGCTTTCGGCATTTTTTTTTCGAAATAGACTATTCCCCATATGAGGTGATTTGGGATTTTATTGTTTATTAATCACACACACACATATATATATATATATATATATATATATATATGCATGTTTCATTAAAAACGACAGACAAGGTACTACGGTTGAGCTTTTTATTTAATTTTTCTTGTGTTCTGACAAGAGCTTTCTTTTCTGGACAAAGAGTGTAAGAACTGCCGAATGTTCTGTGGTTTCCGAGCGCTTTCGGCTATATCTTTGGCCATTATCAAGGATGATTCAATTTCAGCTTAGTAGAGTGTGTGTGTTCTGTGTATGTTAGTGTGTGGTAGTGATGTTTTTAGTTTCAGAATACGGTTAGCACATTGTGGCTTTGTTCATAGTTAATATTGTTAAGAGTTGGCTTTTTCTTTTTTATTATTAGAGCTTCCATTATTTTCAAAAAATAGTTGGAGATTACCAACCGGGATACCTATATGGAAACATAAAAACACATAAACCAGGATACCCACTACGACCAATTATTTCCCAGATACCAACACCCATCTACGAGCTATCAAAAATTCTTTAACGACATCATCACTCCATACCTACCTACCAATTACAGCATCACCTCCACCCACGAATTCCTACAAATTTTAAAAACTACAAAAGGAACAAATCAAGGTATAATAGCGTCACTGGACGTTGAAAACTTATTTACAAACGTCCCTGTCGACCAAACTATCGATATTATCCTCAACCCGTTTACAATAATAATTCCATCCTCCGTCATCCATCAAACCACCCATCTAAAAAAAAAATTACTACACGCATGCACAACCAAAGTCCCATTCTATGACCATAATGGCAATATTTATACCCAAACTAATGGTGTTAGTATGGAAATCCACTGGGTCCATGCTTCTCCAACTATTATATGTCCGACGTAGAAAAATACTATATTTACACAGGTCCACAAACCGAAAATCTATGTTCGCTACGTAGACGATATCTTCATTTTAGCTGATAACATTAAAGAGATAGAGACACTTAAGACCACATTTGAGAAAAACTCCGTCCTTAATTTCACATATGAACTTAGCCAAAAAAACAAACTTACGTTCTTAGATATCCTCGTCGAACACAACAATAACACTTTCATTACATCATTATACAAAAAAACCCACCAGCAAAAACTGTGCCACCTTAATTTCAAAAGCGAATGCCCACTTAGGTACAAAATATAGTAATAAAAAACTTTCTAAATAGAACACACCAGAACTCATCCTCTCGACTACCTTTTCTTTCTCAAAGAACTTAACAACGTTAAACAAACACTAATCAACAACGGTTTCCCTAACTACCTTATAGACCAACAAATTAGACTATTCCTCCCCAAAGCAAGTAATAACGATAAAGAACACACAACTAAAAATCACATACACATTTATTACAAAACCAAATGCATATTAATTACAAACAAGATGAATCTTCTCTAAGACATATTATAAAGAAATATACTACTCCTATTGATCCTAATAAAAAAATCAAACTTATTATCTATTATAAAAAATTTAAGACGGCTAACCTTATCCTCAAAAAATAACAACACACCAACTAAGTCAAAATTACAAAGAACAAACATTATCTATGAGTTCAAATGCCTTTAAGGAACTGCGTTCCTCACCAAAACCGGACTCATAAATAATTACATCGGCTACACAACCACATGTTTATCCAGACGTCTTTACATTATACCTATCTGATCACAGTTCCATCAGAACACATTTAAACACACACTCAGATTTACCCGACACTATTAGGAACATACTAGTAGAAAACACAAATATATTAACTGCATCCACTTGCAAAAAAAAGACTAAAAATAACGGAAGCTCTAATAATAAAAAGAAAAAGCCAACTCTAATAACAATATTAACTATAAACAAAGCCACAATGTGCTAACCGTATTCGAAACTAAAACATCACTACCACACACTGAACATACACAGAACACACACACCTCTACTAAGCTGATATTGAATCATCCTTGATAATGGCTAAAAGATATAGCCGAAAGCGCTCGGAAATACAGAACATTCGGACAGTTCTTACACACTCTTTGTCCAGAAAAGAAAGCTCTTGTCAGAACACAAGAAAATTAAATAAAAAAGCTCAACTGTAGTACCTTGTCTGTCGTTTTTAATGAAAATGCATAAAGGAAAAGATTGCTGCCTAAATATACAAATATATATATATATATATATATATATATATATATATATATATATATATATATATATATATATATATATATACGTCTGTGTATAAATATATACACACACACACATATATATATATATATATATATATATATATATATATATATATATATATATATATCAACACCACTAGGTTAATTCTATTAACGGCCTATTCTTACTGCCTGTCGAGAATGCTTTTTCCACCAGTAAACTACAAAAAAATAACCAGCAATTTTGACACCTAAAAGCTCTTAAACCATTATACTATACAGGGTGTTCATAAAGTTCGGGTGCACTTTAAAAAATTTGTAACTTTATTTGTATTTGCGATAGAAATAATCTGTAAAAAATGTTATAAAGTTTAATATACCTAGCTTTAAGTATAGCTAAAAGAACTAATGTGATTTGAGGCATTATTGTAAATCAGTTGGCAAATGTTTTCCGTGGACTGCAAAATCGTATTACCTTTGTATTACTAATGATGGAGGACATGTGGAAACTTAGATAAAATTTCAATAAAACCTGAAAAAATATAAATTTACTTCTTTCTAAACCTTTTTACAAATTATTTCCATCGCAAATATAAAGTTATAATTTTTTAAAGTGCACATGAACTTTATGAATACCCTGTATATATATATATTTATATATATATATATATATATATATATATATATATATAATAAAAAAAGAAAAGAACAGTAATATATATGATCCGCTGTTCTTATTGATGTTTTTATATTTATAAAATTTAAATTTACAGAGCATAAATATTATAAATTAACTGATTTAAAATATATGTTTTTTTTCGCTACACAGTAATAACCATGTTTAAAAAATGGAAGCTAAAAGCTTCGAATTTAATTTTGTAATTAAATTAAAAAAACATTAGTTCCATTTCATCCTAAAGCAAATTTTGAGTTATTACTACGTAGCGAAAAAACATATTTTAAATCAGTTAATTTATTATATATATATATATATATATATATATATATATATATATATATATATATATATATATATGTGTGTGTGTGTGTGTGCGTGCGTGAATGTGGGTGTGTGGGTATGAAGCACAACCAACCTGTTTCTGTTCTATGCGTTTGTAATCCGTAATTGCTCTTCTCCTAATAGCATAACGTCTGTGTTTATTTACATTACATGCAATTGAAACGCTAAAAACTACTTCTCAAACTCAGCCTTCTCCAACTTGCGTTGAAACAACGCAAACGTTTCAAATTAATGCGCCTAATTTTATTATTTGATTTCAACCATTTTCTTTCTCCTCTGTGTGTCAGTGGTTCATTTTCTTAATGCTTCAATTGGTCTCCCAAATTAAATATCAAAAACGTAACAACTTAATCATTGTTTACCCGGCTCGCTTTACACAAATTAGGAACGCGATTATTTCTAGCCAACGACAACCGCTGCAGGTTTCTCGACCCTGTGAACGGCATTTTGCTGACCGCTAACTTGTCGGTAAATTTTACATGGGCGAGGGGGGGGGTGGCAACTTTTTCTGTATAAATATGGTAATGAACTGCCTGAATAAAAGAAAGAAGAAAAGTGAAAAAAACCTCGGTAAACATTGATAAAGGTGCCCGCAACAAAACGTGGTGTTAAAAGGGCGTTTTTTTTTTTTGTTTTTTGTTTTTACCATTGACTTTTCTAGTACTATTTTAACTACCTTCATTCCTTGGCAATGTTTTAAATTATTGTTTTAAAAAGCGATTATTCGAATTGTACTGAAACCTAAGCATACAATTAAATCTATACATTTTTTTCTTGAGAATTTACAACAAAAATATTAAACACTATTTATTGATTAGATTGTTTATTTAAAAGGATGATTTTATAATTACAACATCCTGAAAAATAAATACAATTAAAACTAATTAAATATTTATCATTTACTAATTTATAAAGAAATAGATATGAAAATAGTTTTTTTATTCATAAATTTAAAAACATTTACTAAATTATTAAAACATGAGAAACAACTGGAAAGGCAAAAGTACACAGGTTTTAAGAAAGCTTTATTCGACTGAAAATACAATGTTCGCATATATTGTCCCTTTATAGTCCAAGTAAATAGAAATACATCTCTCAAAGGGAGACCACTCTTGGTTATTTATAATAATAATATTTAATAGTAACAGATGTTTACAATATAAATGTTAACATTTAATAATTATTAAAAGCATATTTTAATATTTTATTTGTATTATTTCTAATGCAAATTTTAAAACAACCCACACTGGCAATGATTATTGTTTTAAAAACCCATGATGAGAACTGTAATAAAACCTAAACATATGATGAAAATGATTTTATGCATTGTACGAATTTGTAAGAATTTACAACAAAACTATTAAACGCTATTTATTTATAAGAGTGTTTATTTACAAGAATAATTTTATATTTACAACATTCTAAAAATTAATACAATTAAAACTAATGCAATGCAATATTTATCATTGACTAATTTATTAAAAAATAAATATGAAAATAAATTTGTATTCATAAATTTATAAGCATTTACTAAATTATTAAAACATGTAATTTACTGTAATGACAAAAGTAGACAGGTAAGAATACAAGGTTCGCATATAGTGTCCTTTTATAGTCCCAGTAAACAGAAATAGTTCTCTCAAATTGGAAAAAATACAAATTAAAAAACTAAACAGATATATCTTGCCAATTCTTTTAAACTAGACATGTTTGGTTATACAGAGGGCGATAGGAAAATAGTCGCCATTTTATATTTTAATTTCGCGCATGCGCTTTGTTTGATTTTGATTTTGTCACCTACACTCTATAGTAGGCTCAAATGGACACCGTCTGTGAGCACAATGACTCAATTCACTCCGCCAGAACTTTAAAAACGGCATGCTGTACTGCTTGGCATTCGCACCGGAAGCTCCAATGCGAACATTTCAGTGTTTCGGTGTCAGTCTGAAGACAGTGCAGAGGTTTCGGAAAGAGTTGAATGATATTTCAAATCAACACTATCGTGTTTGGTGTGCTCACTGTTGATGGCGAAATTATGCCTCCATTCATCTCCCCACAGGGCCAAGGACTCAACAGGGAGGCCAGTATCAAGTGCCTTGAGGAGGTAATGGGTCGTGGGTCAAGAGGGTGGGTTCTGGAAGACTGCATCATGTCACACCAGCAGCATAACCCAGTCAAGGATGTCAGAGAGTTAGTACATCACCCCTTACATCTGGTCATCTAACTCCCCAGACTGCAACCTCCTTGCTTAAAATGTGTGGGGCACAGTTGCGAGAGAGACGAACAAAACTCCTTGTAACACCAAAGATAAACTGAAGGCAAGGATTATGGCAGCATTCACCAACTCAAACAAGGTGACCGTCCAGAAGAGTTGCAAGAGATTCCGAAGTATTTTGGAGGCAGTGGTTGAAACCAGTGACGATTTTATTGAATACATTTACTCTTTAGTATTTCAAGATATTTTCGTGTAATTTTGGTAAATGAGATATCAGTGATATTTTCATTTTTGCGTCATTTAGACGACAACATATCCATCGCACCTTGTACACGAAGACAGGTATCAAATAACAGTTTCTATTCAGTTGTAACTGAACTAGCGAGGCAAGGTTGTTAACCATTACACCACGTAGAGTTGCCCCAGTAATATGTACTAGAGATTAGTCATTGTTTAAACACACACACACACATACATACATACACATACATATATATATATATATATATATATATATATATATGGGGTTTTGATTTCGCTTTTTGACCGAATCGATTACACTGGGGTTTTTCGGTCTGATATTTTTGCCCATTGGTTTCCACGCGATTCATAATTTTGAAAAAAGTCAGGTCGACTCAAGGACAGATATATATATATATATATATATATATATATATATATATATATATATATATATATATATATATGTAAGCAAATATATGGATATAGATCCGACAGTATGAAAAAACATATACTGAAAAAACAAACAAAACTCCTAATATGCGATTATGCTGTTTTAATGTTTAATGTCAACGTCGGACGTTTCGGTCTAATAGACCATCTTCAGGACATATTCATAAAACATAATTAACATAGACCATATACAATTCAACATGAAAAAGACGATGGAGATAAAAGCAATACCAATCCAAACAGATAACTGAAATCTTTTATAAGATCAGCGTTCCGTTTAAATATGATCACGTCGTCGTCACGTATTGGTATTGCTTTTATGTCCTTGTTTTTAAAATTATAAGCTGTATAAGGTCTTTCGCAAGTACTTTCAACTGTACATTCAGTCATCCTCAGGCATGGAAATTATTTTGTTTTTGGTAAAATTCAGGTAGCATCCGAAACGAAAAAATTAAATGCGAATCGAAATATGTTTTTTTTTCTTTGAAATGTTATTTTTAACGGATACAAACTTTTGGCGCCTCCAGGCGCAACGCTAAGGTTGAATATTGTTTGAAAATTTAAGAGAGTGCGTTTTTTACTAATATGACAATTTGAGAAGTTTTTTTTCTTGTAGGAGTTTATCAGTCAATGTGGCATGAACTAAATTGTTCAATAAATAGAGTAATGTCTCAGTTGTTATCTCGAAAATTTGCACGTCGGATCAGTTCTTTTAAATTTGTAGGTTAATACACCTTTAAAATTTTGCTTGCGAAAGGATTTCGCCATTTTATATCATTAACTTTAATAATCTACTTTTTGTATGAATGATTCATTGTAATATAAATTGAACTGCACCGCATATATACATACACACACACACACACACACACACACATATATATATATATATAAAGAGAGAAAAAAAAATATATATAAAGGAGAGAAAGTGTTGAAAAAGGATGAATGGTTGTCGGATTGTTGAGAAAAAAAACTAATTGATTGTTTTCCTTTCCTATTTTACCGCAATTATTATTTTTAATTCGTTTGCTTTTTTTCTTTCCCTTACAGGTGCGATATTTTATTTCGCTAACGAAGTGTGGGCATTTTCCCAAGTGAACTACGGATAGAATCAATGGGTTGGATTTTCTCTCTCCCAGGAAGAGAATGTACAGTTTTACACATGCGTACACACACACTCTCTCTCTCTCTCTTACACACACACACACACACACACACACACATATATATATATATATATATATATATATATATATATATATATATATATATATATATATATATATATGTAATCCTATTAAATGAATGAGTGGAAAAACTATAAATAAGGTGTTTCGTACTGAAAAGGAAAAACTCATCGTTCGAAAGTAAAAGAAATTAAACTCAAAAAAAAATTTAATACTGAAAATTTTAAAATTTTTAAAACTCAACATGTTAAATTCAAATTTTAATACTGAAATCTTCTAAAAATGTTGGAGTTTTAAAAATTTATAACTAAAAACGAAAAAAAATTAAGTTAATCTAAAAAAAATTAAAACTCAAAAATTTAATATTCAGAACTTTAGCATTTTCCTCGCTAAATACCGAGTGCTATGGATGAAATTTCACTAAAATTACGCAAAAATGAAAATAACACTGACATCTCATTTTAACAGATATATTTACCAAAATTACACAAAAATATCTTGACAAAATAAACAGTAAATTTATTCAATAAAATCGCCATATGCTTCAACCACGGCCTCCAGACGACTTCAGAATCTCCTGCATCTCTTCTGGACGGTCTCCTTACTTATTTTGGTGAATGCGGATAATAATGAAGGGGTGCGGTCTAGGGAGTTAGGTGACCTAATCTAAGAGGTTATGTAGTCGCAGAAATTGTCTCACACCCAATTGTCTTACACAAGTAGGTTTTCCTACTTGTGTAACATGTTGCAGAATCCTGTTACCAGACATAGCTCTTCTAGTTGCCACTTTCTTGACCCAGAGCAACACTATTCAAAGTACTTGATGTAGGTCTCTGTGTTGAGTCTGAGGAGAGAAATGGGAAGAGAAATGGAGCCATAACGACAACGTCACTAGTGATCACAATCGTAATCACCATCGTAATCACAATTACACTCATCAAACTCTTTCTGAATCCTCTGCACTGTATTAGAGTTTCCGGCGCGAATGCCAAGCAGTATATCATGCTGTTTTCAAATTCTTACCAAGTAAATTGTATCATTTTACTCTTTTCCTCACAGGCGATGCTCAACTAAAAAAACTATACTGTACAATCTAAAACAACAAACGCGCATGCGCGAGATTAGAAATATAAAATGGTGACAATTTAGCCATTGTAATTATAACTGAGATTCGCTTTTATATCAATTCCTTCCCGTCCTACGCATATAAATTCCATCAATAAAAACATTCAGTCTGATGAAGTGTTGTAGATTTCGAAACAATTTAGTCAGAATTTTTCCAATTTTTCAGTCAATTGACTAATTTTTGTCTTGGTATATAAAAATTTATACATCATATTCTCCCCTGCAATACACACACACTTCTAGACTCGACGAATTACTTAATTATACTTATCTCAAAGCCTCCTAATAATTTATATATATATATATATATATATATTTGAGATTGATTAAATATAGATCAAATATGTATCCGAGAGAATGATAAGATAAAGAACAAATTAGAAACTTTTCTCAATTTATCATATTTCACTTTTAATAAAGCTTCATCAAAATATGAAATAATGAGAAAAATAATTTTACTTTTTATTTTTGGGTTATTTTCATTTTCATTGGTTAATCATGTTTCGCGTGCATTGGGCTTGTTAAACAAACGCTAGTATCATTTGTGGCGTTCTGAATTCAAGCAGAGACGACGCGTGCCTTCGAAGTTCCAAGAAATTAACAGATTCCAAGTCAAACTGAAAAAATGTAGATATTACTTTATGTATGTAAGTGTATAATAATTTTATTTCTCTAGATGGGAAACAGATGATAATGTAAAATGATAAATATGTGTGAGTAGTAGTAGTAGTAGTAGTAGTTTTAGACATTATGTTTGTCGGTTTTTCCCATGATCATTTGGGAACCTTTTTACGTACATAGTGTTGGTTTTAGATTTTAGTTCTTTGAGAATGGATTCAATAAAGGTTGGTGATGTAATATAATGTTTATGACGTGTTTTTTAGGGTGTCATTAGTAAAATCAATGATAGATATAAATGAGCAGTCGTGACAGACAGACAGATAGATAGATAGATAGAGAGAGATAATGAACAGACTGAGATAGATAGATAGATAGATAGATAGATAGATAGATAGATAGATTCAGATAGATAGATAGATAGATAGATAATGAACAGATTCAGATATATATATATATATATATATATATATATATATATATATATAGAGAGAGAGAGAGAGAGAGAGATAATGAACAGACTGAGATAGATAGATAGATAGATAGATAGATAGATAGATAGATAGATAGATAGATAGATAGATAATTGTATCCGAATCAAAATATGAAAGAAATTGGAAAAGCTTTCGTTTCAACTTGAAGAGGTGAATCTAAGACACATCGCAATGACTTTTCCACGTTGTCTCATACATATATATATATATATATATATATATATATATATATATATATATATATAATGGTTGACGATGTAATATAATGTTCACGGCGTGTGTTTTATAGTTAGTAATATTGCTATGATTAGGCACTCAAAGTACTTTCTCCTTAAAAGATGATGTTCTTTTTTTAATTAAAAGTGGTATTTGAAAAATAAATGTTCTGACCAGTTTTGTTACAGTCTATTAAGAGAGAGAGTTTGAATGGATATCTTAACATAATCGTTTATGTTCGTTGAATATATGGCAGATGGTACCCAGCTTTTGGGCATTTTCATGTTTGCGTGGACATAATTACTATGTGTGTTTTATGTTGTAGTTTTGTAGAAGTTATATTTTGGAATACAGTTTAAGGACTTGTAGGATATTATATAGATTAATGTCATGTAAGTGTTATTTCATGTTGGGTGTTTGGGTGATTTTCTTTAGCGGGATATCAACACCTCTATGGGTCACTTAATGCCGAAACTTTGATCGCAATTCCATGCTTTCAACTACAGATAAAATGTATTGTTGGTCATTTTGTTATAAAACGTATTGCTGGTAATTTTACTATGAAATGCATTGTTGGTAAATCTATCATGAAATGTATTTTTGGTCATTTTTGCTTTAAATGAGTGCTGCAGGTCATTTTGCTAGAAACTTGTATTATGTTTTTTTTTTTTTTTGTGGGTACACTATTTGCCCAGAGCTGTAACTCTAACGGGTGTTACCATTGCCGGTCAGGTAAAACCTGGGAACAACAGCCATTAAAAGTTGGTTCCACTCATCTCAAAATGTCAACTCTCCCAATCAGAGGCCTTGCTGCCCGTATCCGGTAAATTTCTCGAAATCAATTGCTCGAAAAATAATTTCTCGAACTATCAATTTGCTCGAAACCTGTGGTTAAAAAAAATACATTGTTTCTAATATTTACTGTAAGATAAAATAATACAAATTTATTGTTGTTAACTAAACAGTTAAAATTAAAGAATGATTACATTTATATAGCAGGTCTTTCTTTTTCTCAAAAGGCAGTTTGCTTGAAACCTGTGGTTAAAAAAAATAAATTAAATCAACATTGTACTAATCATACATATTATAAAACCCAGGTTGTGTGTGTCAGTTTCGTTTATATATTGGATCGTAAAATTACCTTGCAGTGGTTCTAACAGCGCCAAAATTGGAAAACCACAATTGTTTTTGCACGAAATAAATTTGAAAACACGATTAAGAAGCATTGCTATTTCGAGAATAAAAGGGGGACAACTCATATCGAGTTATACTTATAAAAACCCAGGTTGTTTTGTGTGTGTGTGTGTGTGTGTGTGTGTGTGTGTGTGTGTGTGTGTTGTGTTTATATATGGGATCGGATTTCCTACATTTTTCAACCGATTTCAACAAAACTTCACTTTTTTGACAGGTAGTGTTTCTTATTGTCTTGCACACTTTTTTACCTTATTTTTACATTCAGAATGCTTTAGAAATTCCATTTACTTTTGTTCCAATTGTTTATAATAAAATTCTATTCAATCGGTAGACTCATAACGATTGAAAACAATGCTTTTGTTTGATTTTGGGTTTGACCAATTGGTAAAAAAAAAAAACAAAAAAAAAAACTAATTAAGACATGCGTGTCCGTCAAATTTAAACAATAATCTTTGTCAATTTTATTTTTCAGTCTTTATGATGGTCGATACTTGATCTATCTCTTACTGTTACATCCCCGGGCAACGCCGGGCTCTACTGCTAGTATTTACTATAAGATAAAATAATACAACTTTATTGTTGTAAACTGAACAATTAAAATTAAAGAACGAGTACATTTATATAGCAGGTCTTTTTTTTTTTTCTCAAAAGGCAGATTGCTTGAAACTTGTGGTTAAAAAAAAATAAAACACGTGCTAAGCATTTCCTTTTTTTCGCACATTTCACATTTCCAGTAAATCTTATTGTTCACTGTTTTGTCCTTAATATATAGATATCCATCCAACCACAACTTTTTCTTTCCTTTTTCGCTCTCAACAAAAGTTATGTCCATCACTAGGGTTCGAGATCTCCAAAATTACTGAAATAGAAATAGAAAAAAAAATATAGAAAAATAAAACTGCTTATGTGAGTGTTGTTTGTGGCTCCTTTTACATCCAGCTCCGTTGACGTGTCGTGAGACGGTGCAAATTACGTAGTGCTTCGAGCTTCGACATTACTTTGAGCAATCTGCCTTTTCGAGCAATTGATAGTTCGAGAAATTATTTTTCGAGCAATTGATTTCGAGTAACTTACTGTCGAGAAATTGATTTCGAGCAATTTATCTAGATCCCTTACTGCCGAATGTACTTTATCGTCTGACCCAGATCAACAGTTTAAAATGTGGGAGGTATTTTTGCCACACCCTGTATTTAATAATAATACAAAATTTGTTTTAATCGCAATCGTTGTTCATTTGTGACTATTTTTTTTTCTTAAATCTTTTCTGTTTGATTTAGTAGTACAAGATTTCCATAATTAAATATATATTTCTGTTGGGTTGAATCCGTTTGTCATTGGCGATTTATTTTGATTTCTTTCTTTCCTTTTATACGTGCGAAAGGGACGCCCAAACAAATATTTATGCCAGTCGAAAATTATGAGTCTGCCTCAGAAACGTCGAGAGTAGAATGCGTCCCATGAACCCGAGTAAATAATAAACACTTTTATCTGAGTCCGGTTTTTCTTTGCAAATATTTATACTCCAAATATTTGCATCATTGTGGGTTGATGGATTTTACAAGTACAAGACAAAGTAATAAAAAAAAAAAGGATTTTATTCAGGAGAGATATTACAATAATCATGAATATCATTGGAAATAAACAGCCTGCGTAGAAACAGAAAATAAATTCAGTAAGTATACGTCTGATTGATTTGATTTGATTTCTTTTATTTTTTACGGCTTATCAACCCATTGCCGGTTATTTAAATCTAGGTAATATTTTTAGGTTTATAATGGTTTAGTGATACATGTTTTACTAATCAACCCATAGCTTGGGGAGAAGAGATGAATTCATACTCAATCAGAATTTGATATAACAAGAAGTTATAAAGTGAGGGATCAAATATATATAGTAACCCATACATAAACTGGTCCCTCACTTTGTGGCCCCGGTAGTTTCTATGTATTTATATTCCAGAGAATATAAATAAATCTAAGACATGCCTACAAGAAATTATAATGTGGATATAAAGTGGGGGGTCAATTCTATGTTACAACCAATATATAAACTGTCCCCTAACTTTGTGGCCACGGTAGTTTTTATATGCTTATATTCCAGAGAATGTAAATAAATCTAAAAGACATACCCACAAGAATTTATAATGTGGATATAAAATGGGGGATCAATTTTATATTACAATCAATAAATAAACTGGCCACTCACTTCAACTCCAGATAAAATGCCTTGTTGGTCATTTTGGTATAAAATTTATTGTTAGTATTTCTACTTTAATTGTATTGTTGTCAATTCTACTATAAATATATATCGTTTGTAATTATTTTTATATAATAATCTATTGCTGACATTTTTTTTACTATAAAAATGTATTTTTACACTTTCATAGTGTTTGAGAGTTCCCTAATTTCCCATAGTTGGGACCTTTTTTTGCCACCTGAGTCAATGTGATTCCACGCTCCTCCGATCAGAGGCCTTGTTGTTGGATGTAGTTTATCGTTATACCCAAGACTGCATATTTCTATAGATTAAGTTCCCCCAGATAAAAAAAAATTAAAAGGGAGGATTAACTGCAGTAATTTGTTGTAGGACAAGCTTGCTAACCATTGGACCACGTCGAAGAGTCCATAATTATTTCAAAGCGTAGTTTAGATGTGGCACAAGGCCGTAATATGGAGCACCCAGTGAGGATTGCAGTCGTAATTGTTGAGCTGGACAAACTAACCATTGGACCACGTCGAAGAGTCCATAATTATTTTCTAAGCGTAGTTTAGATGTGGCACAAGGCCGTAAGTATGGAGCACCCAGTGAGGATTAACCGCAGTCGTAATTGTTGTAGCGAGACAAGCTTGCTAACCATTGGACCACGTCGAAGAGTCCATAATTATTTTCTAAGCGTAGTTTAGATGTGGCACAAGGCCGTAAGTATGTTGTTCGTAATTGTTGTAGCGAGACAAGCTTGCCAACCATTGGACCACGTCGAAGAGTCCATAATTACCCAGTTTAGACAAGGCCGTAAGTATGGAGCACCCAGTGAGGATTAACCGCAGTCGTAATTGTTTAGCGAGACAGCTTGCTAACCATTGGACCACGTCGAAGAGTCCATAATTATTTTCTAAAAGTTTAGATGTGGCACAAGGCCGTAAGTATGGAGCACCCAGTGAGGATTAACCGCAGTCGTAATTGTTGTAGCGAGACAAGCTTGCTAACCATTGGACCACGTCGAAGAGTCCATAATTATTTTCTAAGCGTAGTTTAGATGTGGCACAAGGCCGTAAGTATGGAGCACCCAGTGAGGATTAACCGCAGTCGTCGAGACTGAGGCTAACCATTGGACCACGTCGAAGAGTCCATAATTATTTTCTAAGCGTAGTTTAGATGTGGCACAAGGCCGTAAGTATGGAGCACCCAGTGAGGATTAACCGCAGTCGTAATTGTTGTAGGAGACAAGCTTACAACCATTGGACCACGTCGAAGAGTCCATAATTATTTTCTAAGCGTGTTTAGATGTGGCATAATATTTGATTATGGAGCGCAGTGAGGATTAACCGCAGTCGTAATTGTTGTAGCGAGACAAGCTTGCTAACCATTGGACCACGTCGAAGAGTCCATAATTATTTTTCTAAGCTAGTTTAGATGTCAAGGCCGTAAGTATGGAGCACCCAGTGAATTAACCGCAGTCGTAATTGTTGATGGCGAGAGGAAGCTTGCTAACCATTGGA